AGATATTCAGCTTTATGTCTCTATGGAAACACGACAGGTACCCTTACGAGGGGAGAGTATCAACTTGGCGTTTATAAACCCTCTCTGCAAAGGAGGTAGACGCATGGTGGGTTAGGTATATACAGTGTTCTTCATTGCAGAGAAAATTGTTGTTTATCTGCCTACCTCGTCTTCATTGAGATAGTTGATGAATTGATGAATTACAAAAATATATCGCGTTCCAGTTACGAATGTTGAAAACAATATCCAATAGGTCTCACGATACAAATTTGAAATCGATTTTTAGTTTTAGATCCGAGCAGCACATCGTTTTGCCTTCAAGGTCCTCAATATAACCCACGTACGTAAATAAAAATGTGGAAGATGTCTACTAGAAAAAACACTATTCGGGAAGAAAGCGGATATGTAGCAATCCAGTTACGGACGTTGAATATATTATTCAGGTATCTCTCAGATTCAACATCCATGTAATTCAACTGATGATATTCATTTTCTGATATGAATGTACTTCGAATAATATGTGATGTTTTGTTGCAGATCAGAGAAGCAGTATTTGATACTTGCCACTCAATCAGAGAAAACCATCCAGTACATACGAACCGAACAGAAGATTCAGAAAGTGAACTGACCAGACTATACTTATGGTGACTAGTTATGTTATATACTTGGTTTATTATGATTTGATAGTCTGACATCGATGTGACATTTTTATAATATAATTACAGTCTTATAATTTGTATCAATTGTATCCACAATTTGGTGACCCCGACGTGATGTCATGGAGCAGTTGAGCGAGGCGAGATCATACAAATTTGAAGACATTTAAACATCCATCTTAGTGATTCGATGGAATTTTCGGATATGAAGAAAATGCTGAAAGAGTACATTGAAAAAACTTATAAGGACCAATTCCACGAAGCCGACTACAGGAGCATCCTTTCAGAGATTTCATCAAGAATCATACCAAATGATGTTTCAAATACTATTTTTACGAAGAAGATCGATAGACTTGAAGGATTATGCAAAATTCTGATCGTCAATTTTGATGAAAATAATAAAAAAATATGATTCGTTGGAAGCAAAACTCGATATTTTGGAAAAACATCATGAAAGTTCAACATTTCCAAACAATATCATGCCTCATGACATCATCTCCTCAGAAGACACATCAACTAAACATTCAAAGAAAGAGAGAGAATCAATTAAATCAATTAACCTTCCAACATTCTGGAAACATGAGCCTGCATTATGGTTCAATGTTGCTGAATCGATTCTTGAATCTCACGGAACAAGAAAGAAATAAATTTGGGAAAGTGATTTCAATGTTGGACTGCAATATTGCGCTCTGGGTTGGTTTCGTAGGTCTCTCTGTATATATTTTTTTCCTAATATCCATTCGTCTCAAACACACTGTGTATTTTTTAAATATTCATCGATAAGATTTTAATCTGCCGCTAGTGGTTTTTCTGCTCACCCCGTAATAAATTATAATATTGCATTTGTTACAAGATATTTGATCTGCCTCTGAAATTCAGCCATATTCGTGATGCAAATTTCACTAGGAACATTATATTCACAGATGATTGTTCAATTTCAACATCGAAAATATTAAATCGCAGAAATGAACATAGCTGTGCTGAAAAAAAATCTCTGAATCGACGAAAACAATTGATATAGCAACAAGATGGTGCACCTCCACATAACGGAATCGCTGTCACGTGGATTGGAATGCGAGGACCAATAATTTACCCGCCCCGTAGTCCAGACCTGACGTCATGTGATTTTTTCCTCAATAAATACCCAATGCTGTTTGAAAATGTTCGCAAAAATTTCATCAGAAGGTGTCTACTATGCATTGACCGAAATGGTGGGATTTTTGAAAATTTGGTGTAAATTTTATTTTCTGAACAGTTTTTTTAAATTGATATTATTTATGGACCCTTTTTTCATAAAGTTTTGTTGTGAAGGACTTCTTCAACTACATTCATTAAAGTACTTTCCATGATAACATGAAACAATTTGACATTTAAATAAAGCGTAAACATCTATTCATTGGAATTTCTTCGAAGCCCACTCACTATATTTACTATAAATTATGTGTAGTTTCATTTATTGGATCTCTCTTTTATTTTATTCAGACCAGGGAAGAGTCCCTCTTATCCTTATATCTATTATGGAACAAAATAAAAACGGTATTGAAGTTTGATGCGAACAGCCCTTCTGCCCCAAATAAGTTTCAGAAATACATTCTAAGAATTGAAAGAGATCGAACGGAAATAATAAATATCAAAAACTTGAGAATAGTAAATTTGGTCATAATGTCGATATTTTCTCTAGTTTATGGACAATCTCGGTCTTTTGAACTTTGATTGATCACCTGGGTCATAATCAACTGCATTTCGAAGAAGCTGATTCTCATGAACATCAGCTTTTTCGAAAGTCTTGATGTTTCGTTCTTTAATGACTGACACGATTGAAGGGAGTTTCAGATCCCTGGCGATCTGGTTATTCCGAACATACCAAGGAGATCCTGTCACCATTCTCGCGACTTTGTTTTGTAATGTTTGTAATCTGGTGATATGAGATTTAGCTGTGTGGCCCCAGACTACTGAGGCATACAGTGAAATTGGCCTGATAGCCATGATATAAATATTCAATTTTTGTCTCAAACCCAATTTACTTCGCCTGTTTAGAAATGGATACAGGGCTCCAATGGCTCGTTTAGCTTTAGAAACTTGCTGTTCAATGTGCTGGGCCCAGGTGAGCTTTTTGTCAATGCACACACCTGAGTATTTAACTTGTGAAGACCACTCTAACTCATGACCATCCAGGACTATTCTGGTTCTGGGAGGCCTCCGCTCCCTTCCTAGTGCGACCAATTGTGTTGTCAATTTGATCTTCCATCATAGGAAGTACTCTTGAAGAGAATTCAGTGCGCTTTGGAGGTTCATAACTGCTTGCTCGAAATTTGTCGAATATGCAAGAACTGCCGTATCATCAGCAAAAAGCGACATCTTGCACATCACTGGTCTTGGCAAATCGCTAGTATATAAACTGTACAACAGCAGAGATAAAACTGCACCCTGAGGAACACCAGCTTCAATGGGCTTGATACCAGATCGTTGATCATCAAGTTTTACTTGAAAAGTTCGATTTTTCAGAAATGAACACATCAACTGAATCAAACAACAAGAAAAGGAGAGAAATGGTGATCTATATGAAGCGGTATTCTGGTAAACTTCGATCGTCAATACTTCAATCAATTCCTATCCAAATATGCAAGTTGTTAGTATCAACAGAATCAGGAAAACAAGTTCTACCGCCCTGTCGCAAAATATACATAGTGTTCCGTTTGAAAAACAAGAGTTGATATCCATTTCTGAAAAATAGAAGACCCTGTATATCAAAAAATATCTTTAAATCAAGATACAAATAATTTTATGCAACTTTTTCCCCAATAATTTTTCCATATCTACAAAAACAGAGAAGTAAGGGGGGTTCAATTTCAAGCGGTGCACCCTGTACTTCCATGAATCTATTGCCACCTTGACGTCGGAGTACCACAGGGCTCAGTGTTAGGACCTTTGATATTTCTTTTATTCATAAACGATATGCCATCCTATATCAAATCAAAATGCATTGTTTTATTTGCTGATGATACTTCTATTGCAGAGGAAGCCGAAAATCCTGTAGAACTACAAGCTAGATTGAATGTTGTGGCACATCTATTCACTACATGGTGCGAACGTAACAAATTGATAGTGAACGCCGAAAAAACGGTATTGTTACCGTTTTTAGGAAAAAAAACAGAAAAATCATATCTCAATGAATGTTAATGTCAATAATACCACCATCGAACCCTCAGAAAGAAGCAAGTTTTTAGGAATACATTTGGATGAAGCACTATGCTGGAAATACCAAATCAATCATGTGTGCAAAAAATTATCAAGTGGGTATTTCGCATTATTTCAGTTAAACAACTCGACTTGACAACCCTGATCAACGTTCATTACGCTATCATAAATTCACACATCAAGTATAATATTATCCTATGGGAAGGAGCCACTGAAATAAATAGAGTATTCGTATCGCAGAAGAGGGCCATTTAACTTGAAAAAAACAGACTCATGTAAACCATACTTCAAGAAACATTCAGTATTGACTGTTCCGTGTACCTATATATATTCATAGCTGTGTATGCTATATTAACCGAAATATAATGTTTTTAACCAGGAATTGTGACAATCACCGATACCAAACAAGGAATGGTAACAAAATAATTATCCCAAAACATTCGACTAGCCTATATGAAAAGACCCCTTCTCTGGCTGGAACAAAATTATTTAATAATTTGCCATCTGGGCTGAAAGATATTCCATCATATAACCTCTTCAAGAAAAAAGTCAGAGAATTTTTAGTACTGCATAGTTTTTACTCCACCTCTGAATACCTTAGTTATAAGTGAACTGGGAGTACAGTTTTTGATTTTTAATTTTTAATATTTAATTCTTAACTTTATGTATTTGAATGTTTTGATTTTTGAATTCTGATTCAATTCTCAACTCTTTGTATTTTAATGTTCCCAATGTATTTTGTTCGTGATTCTTCTATGGATGTTATGATTGTAGGTTTATATTACGATTTAATCTCAGAAATTTTTATACTTCTCGACTGACATGTCCTATTTCATGTATGTGAACACAAAGGATGAATAAATATTATATTCTATTCTATTCTATTGCCACAGATTAACAGACCTGTGCTATTGCCATCGAACAACAAATTATTGTTCAATCATTGCCATCTGTCGGAATATTCTATAAGCTTGCTCTCTCTCTCTCTGCACACAACTAAAGTAGTATACGTTTTACCGACTTGATCGGTGCTGCTGTCTGCAGGAGCGCAACCTAAGCAGAGATTTCAATAACATTTCCCACTCCTCTAACGTTCGTGACTAGAATTCCGAAAAATCGGAATCAGCTGTTCGATGCTTAGATAGCACACTCGACAATCTATGCTCGACCCTATAGTCTGTAGCTCATCATACGTTCATTGAAATGACTTCCAGAGGGTAAAAACGTATACATTCAGTCACTAGAAGGCATCTAGCACATTTTATTTGTTGTTTCAGGCCCCCAAAAACCAAGGTACAGGTGGAAACCTCGCTGGAGAACCCGGATTACGACGCTATAATCCTGGTAGCATCTCCGGAACAGAAATTACAGTCTGGCAAGCTACAAACCGTCGTTTCGGGAGCTCTCAACTTGGACCCGTCGTTGAAAACAGAGTTGGCCATTTTGCCGGTTGATTTGCCTGCCGGTAGGGTGGTTTATTCTCCGACCGGACCGATCGATGACGACTACGGTGACGTCAGAAGTTTCAAGGATAGCGCCAAAGCTGCCGTTAAGAGGGCGCTCAAAGCGGGAATCAGGAGGCCGTTGCTGGTCCTTGAAGGACATCCCAGATTCGAGCAAGCTGAATTGGTTACTCTCTTAGGGGTGCTGGAGGCTTTGTACACGGTGAGATGATTTTACTTCAAGATGATAAGAATTGAATTGGTACAATACGATCCAATTCAAATTAATTTGTTTTTCTTCAACTATTTTCAATTCAAATGTGGAAACTTCACAAACGATAAGATTTACACAAAATTCTCAAACAGACGACATAATTCGTTAACACAGTAGCTTCGTCAGGTGATATACTGGTACGATGAACTGAACTAACATTGGCTTGCTTATACATCAGTGTCATTCATAAAGTCAGCATCATATGGGAAAAACTTTTATTATTGACTTATTCCGGAATTCGTGTTGGACGTTACGTTTTGCTTCGAAAAATATGAAAAATGGCCTACTCAATCATGTGACTTTCGCTACATGTCATAAGTGACATTTCTTCAAATTAATCGCTGAAAGTAGGCTTATTTATTCGAATATCGAAAAAGTTTACTTGAAAAAGTTGTTTCTATTTCAATTTCACACATGCTTCCCAATTTTGATCTTTCTATTGCAACTTTTAGATTTTGATTTTTTTTTTAATTTTTTCGAAATTTCTGTAATATTTGAAGAATTGTTAATTCCACGAAACTACTTCATATCAGTAGCTTTTTCATGCTACTTACTTTCAATTACTCATTATCACTGATTATGGACAGAATATGATTTTCTTCAGAAAATGATAATACCCGCTTCCAAATTCTGTTATGTTTGATGCAAAGTTGATATATCGTCAAGCATTTAGAAACGAAATTCATTTAAACTGATCTTTTCAGTACTGAAAAAATAAATTCAAATGAATTTCGTTTCTAAATGCTTTACTCAAACATAACAGAATTTTGATGTTATGTTTGGATCAAACATAACAGAATTTTGAAGAGGAGATTATCATTTTCTGAAGAAAATCATATTTTCGACGAAAATTAGTGATAATTAGTAATTGAAATTTAGTAACATGATGAAGCTACTGGTATGAAGTAGTTTTATCAAATTTACAATTTTTTCAATATTACAGAAATTTCGAAAATTTTTAAAAAGTATCGAAAACTAAAAAAATGTAATAGAAAGATAAAATCCGAGTCACATATGTAAAATTCAAATAGAAACAACTGTTTCAAGTAAACTTTTTCGATATTCGAACAAATAAGCCTACTTTCAGCGATTAATTTAAAAAAATGTCACCTTTGACATGTTGCGAAAGTCACGTGATCCCGATTGAGTAGGCCATTTTTCATCTTTTTTGAAGCAAAACTCAACGTACAACTCGAATTCCAAAATCAGACATTAATAAAAGTTTTTCCCATATGATGCCGACTTTATGAATGACACTGTATATCATACTTTCTCAACCTGAAGGATTAGTTACCTGTGGACAGGTTCGATAAACCTGGATTTCCATCAAGTAACGGCCGAGTCAATTCAAAAATATTTCTAATTCGATTTACAACTCGCAGTTGATTCACTTAATTCAATTGAATTCAACTCAATTCAACTTGACTTTCAGTTTCAGCTTGACTCACTAATTCACTTTAATAGTTCAAGTCTCAATAATTCAATGATTTAAATGGGATGAATAAGTTTGAAGGATATGAATCATATGCAATAATACTTTGATAATAATAATAATACTTTATTGAAATAATTTTCACAAGTAAAAGAGTTTCAGTTTCATGTTTGTTCCCCCTAAAATACAAAGCTGAGACTTTCTATGATGGAACATAAGAGACATTGTGAAATTTTTCAATAATAATTTGAACTACATATACATCACGCCAATTCAAAATTCCAAAAAAATCAATAGAAAAAACAAAGTTCAAATTGAGTATGTTTCATAGAATTCATCATCAGTATATTGTTTCGACATAATTATCGAAATATTGTTACATCTTCATCCAGTCTGATAAAAAACATCAGGTGTTAACAAATACTTGAAATATCACTTGAAAACTTGCTATCTCGGTAAATTCGCTGTTCAGAACTATAGCTTTTCAATGACATAGGTTTATATCTGGTTGGGAACAAAACTGATATTCGATGCCAATGACATCGTTTTTATCGACTCTCTGGCTATATATAATTCTGAAATTATCAGTGAATCATTATCCTCCGAGATTATATGTGCTTCAGATTATTTTGAAATTGCATTGTTACAAATTAAATACTACTTGTGAACATAAAAACATGTTTGTTATAATGTGAAACATATTTATTTATATATACAGGGTGACATTTCGAAATCTCCCCACCCTCAATATCTTTCTTCCAGTAAATAATATGAAAAATCGAAAAGACAAGTCGATTTCATTCTCAACGGGGCCACATCATATTCATATTTTTAGCCCTCCTAGGGTATAACAGTAAAAAATGTCGTTCTATACTTACAGAAGTGTTAAGAACATACCTGCACTGAGATGCATGGTTTTCAGTTATGTATTATTGTATCAACTCACCTTTTGGTTCAAAATCTTCCTATCATTTTATCAAGGGTTGAAAGTTTCCTAATTGACACGTTATTTGGAAAGAGAATTGAACACCATAGAAGATGATGTGCCATTCGACCCCCTTCCCATTTGAGATTCTAAGTATAACATCTATCCCTCCTTGGTTCTCACGATGTTCTCTGAGCATTACAGGATATCCCTTTTCGTGGGAACCAGAACATGAAAAAAACTAAGGCTTCAGAAAGACATTGAGTAATTAATTGCTCAAGATCATGGTTTTCACTGTATCACTTCAAACTCTTCAGAGGATCGAAAAATCAGTGATTTCAGGAGTAACTTTATTTTTTCGTCCTGTGAAATCTTCTTCCTCACAGATCTATATTATTAATTATTATTTCCAGCCAATCCAAATTCGCGAACATGACCCATCTAAAACCCACAAAGTTGATGTCCTTGGAGTATTCACCCATAATCCGGACAAGACTGAAAAGCTAGTCAACATTGCCCAGATACTAGAAGAAGGAAGAAGAGTAGCTTGCGACATAGGCGACTGCGATCCAGAAAGAATGGCACCTCCCCGGATAGAGGAGTACCTCAAGGATCTGTTCGCAGGCACCGGAGTCAATATGGAAGTCGTCAGTGACGTTGGGGTCAGTTGAAAACTATACAAAATAGGATAAATCCTCGGAAATCAGTAAAGAAGGTTCGATACAGTTTATTTCATGGGAAAGCTGCCATAATAAGTTTCGGCAAATGAATAATATTCGACCCATTGAACTATATCTCTAATCACCAGCAAAATGTCGCTTACCCCATGGAAATCAGCCTTCTCTTGTCCAGGTCATAAATGGCAGGCCTAATTTGTCTGTAGTACCTATAACTGATCGAATATCAATGAACAATTGAAAATCAATCAGACCCCTAGTGGTTCTTATGGTTCTTGACCATCTCAACCTCTAATTACGAGAAGAACGTCGATTGAAGATGAAAATCCGCCTCTCTTAGTCTTATGACAAAAGAAACGCCTAATTTGTTTATAATGATCAAATCAAAAACAATAAACATATGAAGAACGCCTGAGGTCATATATAGTTGAAGTACAACTAACGAGAAGAAAAATTGGCTTCACCGCATTGAAATTGGCCTATTCTACCCCGAAATACCGAAATTGTCAATAATAATTGATTATTGTGATGAATAAACAGATTTATAGTGGCGCATGATAGGCTGTAGACTTTGATGTAGATGCAATTACGAAGTTAACACATTTTGCCGCATCAAAATCGAACCTTCTTCATCTTATTTCAAGTTGAAATGCCAACTATATTGGACTATTGCTGTCTATGATTATAATATGTTAATACATCACTCTTTTAGATTTTCAAAAAGGATTACCCGCTTTTTGAGGCTGTGAACAGAGCTGCCAGCTGTCAGGAGAGGCACAAGGGAAGGATAGTTTATCTGGAGTATAATCCTCCTGAAACAGTCGAGAAAACTTTGTACTTAGTAGGAAAAGGTAGATGAGAGCTTCACAAGTTTAGAAAAACATGATTTCACATAATCAGACTGATAGTTAGTCACAAAACTCACAAATCCAAAATAGATCCGAAGGATCCTATCAAATCTAATCTGAAATTCCATTTGGATCCTGAATCTATACCAACTTTTGTCTAAGAAGCTTTACCTTACATGAATGTATCCCTGAGGTCATTATTTCATGATGATTTGAAAAGTAATATAAAGTGGAATTATTCCTGACAAAATGAAAATTGCGAAAGTATTGCCTATATACAAAACTGGCAGGAGAGATGATATGAATAATTACAGACCCATTTCTGTTCTCCCGGTTCTTTCGAAAGTTATAGAAAAAATTATGAATTATCGTCTTCTTGATTTCCTGGAAAATAACAATTTGCTATACAGTGGTCAGTATAGATTCCGTAGATCGAAAGACACTGAAGTAGCCGTTATGGATGTTATTTCAGATATCCAATTACGAATAGATAAAAATGATCAATGCGGTTTATTGTCATTAGATCTATGCAAAGCTTTCGATACTGTCAACCATAACATTTTATTAAATAAATTATTTGCAATTGGTGTCAGAGGAAGAATTCATGATTGGTTCAAAAATTATCTATCAAATAGAAACCAATATGTTGAAGTGAATGGTACTTGTAGCTCCTTAATGAACATCTCATGCGGTGTACAGCAAGGGTCAGTCTTGGGACCAGTTTTATTTTTGATCTACATAAATTCAATATCAAACTTGAAATTGAGAGGAAAACTTAAATTATTTGCAGATGACACGACATTGATTTATTTCTCTAAAGATTCAAATAATATTATCATGGACATGAAAAGTGATTTAGAGAAAATATCCTCTTGGTTACAAGTTCATAAACTATCTCTCAATTATAACAAATCCTCATATATGTACATAGCAAAAAGAACATTGAACATTTCAAATAGAACACTATCCTTCAACAATAAACTCATCAAATATACAGATGATACAAAATTTTTAGGTCTTTATATTGATGAACGACTATTGTGGAATAAACATATAGATCATTTGAGGAACAAACTCAATCCTATTACAGGCATTTTATTGAAAATACGAAATTTCATTTCTACCAGATACTTGAAGAGTATTTATTTCTCTCTTATTTACTCAAAATTTCAATACCTGATATCTATATGGGGAAGTACCAATATTTCACGTTTGAGTCCACTAATGAAATTACAAAATAAAACATTGAAGTGTATTTTCAATTTAAATTTTCTCGAACCAACCATGAATTTATACAAACCTAGAGATTTATAAGATCTGACATCACTATATAAACTTAAAATATGTTGTTTTATTCAATTTGTTCTATATAAATTGAAAATTTCGAATTTAAATTTCAATGAAATCAATTCATTACATAATCATGGAACAAGACAATCAGATTTACTAATAGCAAATTCAAGTCAAATATCGGCAAACAATCAATTTTTCACACAGGAATCGTTCTATACAACAGATCTATGATACAACTCATTACCAAGTCAATTGAGGAATATACAGAAAGCAACTAGATTCAAAATGACCTTAAAAAAATATCTGCTTCAGAGACTTTGATAATTCCATTTCCAATTTGAATACCTACTTATAAAAGACTAGGTTGATATTGCATGATTATTTGCATTTTTTTTTTACTTGTTATATCTTATTATAATTTCATAATTGTATGTATAACACTATGTATATTGTTTATGTATCCCTATTATAAACAACTATGTTTCTTGGGGTAATAAAGACAATCAATCAATCAATCAATACAAGACCATGGGGCTTCATTGGAGAACTGTAATGATCCTAATCATCTGATTATTTCCAGGTGTGACGTACGACACAGGCGGAGCCGACGTCAAAATAAGCGGCAACATGGTGGGTATGTCACGTGACAAGTGTGGTGCTGCCGCAGCGGCAGGATTCATGCACATAGTGCGTCTACTGCAGCCAAAAAACATCAAGGTTAGTCAAATTTCCTGCAATAACAGGGAGACATCGATAAATTGTAGTGTACCTCAGAGCACAGTCATTGGGCCCTTACTATTCAATGAAAGTGTAAATGTATTGCGAACTTATCGACAATTGTCTTAATAAAATTGTTCATTTTTATCATCAAGGTGGTTGTTGGTTTGAGCTTGGTGCGAAACAGCATCGGAAGCAACAGCTATGTCGCTGATGAGGTCATCACTGCCAGGTCTGGGGCCAGGGTGAGGGTAGTGAATACTGATGCAGAGGGAAGGATGGTAATGGCCGATGTACTTTGCAAGGTGAGGGTGTGAGACACAGTAAGTCATACAATATGGTGAAGTTTACTATATCAGTGTTTTTAATCCGTAAAGATTCCATGAAACATTTTTAGTCTCGAATTTTTCATTTTGTCGATTGGTTCAGATTTTGATTCAGAAAAAAAATTGATGAATCAGTTTTGATTCCTCCACCATTTTGTTGCGGGATTGACTGCAATAAATATTCATAGTATTGAGTAGGAAAGTCAAAAAATGTATACCACGAAACTTTCCTATATATTTCTTCAAGAAGACTTTGACAATACACAAATATTGAGCTGAATCTCATAACTAAGAGTTCTAGGGTGAACAGAGTGGCCTCAAATGTTAGCAGGAGCAAGACAGTACTGTTTCGGCGCACCAGGCCTCATCAGTATTAGCTCCTTTGGTCTGCTGACAACTGAGAAAACTCCGAGGAAAACTCAACGAACAGAGCTGTTCATCCTATATCTCATAGTTATAAGATCTAGTTCAATGAATTTAGTGAATCATTCCACTCAAGTAGTCAGGTACCGCCATCTGTCAGCAGAGTGGTTCACTTGTAGTACCACTTCGTAACGTGTGGACGTATAGGTCTGCACGTGTTGAAGAAAGATGTCAGCGTTATACAGTGCATGCCGCGATTAAATGATCCAACCTTAGAGGTATTCTACTAGATGGCGATAGGATCAATTCCAGCACCAACACTATTTTTACTTTATATCAACGATTTGTCTTTACCTAGAAAAGCCGATCTCACTGTGCCCAACATGAGCTGGTCAGGAGTAACCATACCTTTGAAGACATCCATTTCGATGCTTGGTATTACTATCAGCAATAACCTTTCTTGGAAAAATCACGTGAAATCCATTGCTGAAGGTGCATTCCAAAAACTTGGTTTTTTGTTTCGGGCCAGGAGCTATTTCACTTCCAGTCAGCTGCTTATGATCTATAAGGCACAGATACGATCTGTCTTGGAATACTGTTCCCATATTTGGAGTGCAGCACCCAAACATACCCTGAAACTGTTGGATTCTGTCTAAAAAAGGGCAATTCGTCTCGTGGGTGATGCCACGCTCACAAACTCACTCACTTCTCTGGAACACCGTAGAAAAAATGGCGATCTGGCTCTATTTTATAGATATTTCCATGGACGATGCTCTTCTGAAATATCAACAATTGTTCCTCCCTTGGCAGTTCCGGCGAGATTCACCCGTCGAGTTGAGGCTTCGCACCCCTTCGTGGTCACTTTGGAGACCTGCAGAACATCTCATTCCAAAGACTCGTTCATCCAACGAACAGCGAGGCTCTGGAACACATTGTCAAGGAAGGTGTTCTCTGAGGCATATAACCTCCAGAAATGCAAGAAGAACACCAATTTCTACCTTATTTCCCTTGGTCCTCACGATATATGTTCTCGGAACATTACAGGATATCCCTTTTCGTGGGAACCAGAACTTAAAAAAAAAACATGACCACATCTTCATGTATTGAATTCCAAGGCAAATAAGATAGACTACAGAAATATATAGGGTGCCGTTTGGAAAAAAATGTTGGGTTTTCTCCCAATTAAACAGGTGGTTGAGAAAAAATGTCATTAGGTTCAAAAAAAGCGCCATCATTGATTATATAACCCTTGTGAATCTCTAATCTTTATCTCTTCAACTAAAAAAACTACAGGCTGTTACTCATGTCTCCTGTCATAACTATCTCATGCTTTATCGAAACCATAAATAATTTGGAACAGGAAATATCTTGAAGTCTCACTCAGATGGTATGACAGCAAATGTTATAATATATCTCAGGTTACAGTTTAACTAGAACTCTTTCACAAAAGATACCAAAAATGAATAAGCTGACTATTTCTGATCAATTAAATAAATGATAGGTACATACCTACTAAAAATCAGAACTATAGAGAGGATCAGAGTTTCTCTTGCAATGGATCTTCGACTTTACCTTATTGTTGTGCATTAGAATTACCATTGCAGATCAACAAATAACAGTATTCCAATCATGACTAGATTTTTTATAGAAAAAAAAGGAAAAAGCGGCATACATTATTCAAAAACCAAATAATTAAATGATAAAAAGTGAATATGAAAGGCTGTAAAAGATCAAAGATCTAGAATAATTATTGTTGCTTTAACTGTTATCTTCATACTATTATATTTATTTAATAATAATTGTTCCTTTCATATATCAATGCCATCGTAATTTTTATCTCTTAGTGATTCCATAATTGAATAAAATTATTCATTCAAATTGGAAAAACGATAGTATACCTACATTTAAAATATCATTTCAATAACTTATGCGCTACCTATGTCTGACGGCAATCACAACATGAATTTCACATTCAATAGGCTAGAGTGTAATTGCATATAACTGCGTAAAAAGTTTGCTCATGAACTTCACTGTCCTTGAAAAAGTAGAATGGCAAAATATGTTCATCGAAAACAAGGTAGTACATGTTATCCCCAAAAATTATTTATGTTCCTGGAAATTCTGAGATGTAACAGACCATTCCAGGAAGTCAAAACACATTTGCAAAAATGCGTCACTACAATATGAAAATTCATTGATTTCAGAAAATTGTTATGCTAGCTACAGTTTCCGTAGGTATAATAATATTTTTCCCTATACCTACTTGATTTCTTCTTTGGTTCATGTTCATGATTTGCATTAATTCTTGCACCGTCTGATGCTGGTGAAAATGAAAAAAATGACAGTCATTCCCTTGTTTCTCCTTCACAACACAATCAATAAATCATATAATAATCTACAGACTATGTATTCCACGTTCTGTTCAACAATTTATATAAATCATTATCAACAATCATTTATTTCCAATCTGACTGTATGAAAAAAAATCCAAATACCGTCCATACATATATTAAATACCGATTACAGCACAGAATAGTATTACAGTAACAGAAATTATCTAAGGATTAAGTAATTCCACAATATATAATAGGTATAATTCTATTTATAAAGTTTTATTTCATTGAGATAGTATGTGGAAGGAGGTGATGTCACGTGGTAAGGGTGAAACAATAGTATTGGGTATTCTCTGTTGGTCTTCTCCGAAACGAACTTCAATTTCCATAAGGTTGGTAGTATAACATCGAACTGTCAGGAAAATTCCAAATGCACGATGAAATATAAGAAGAAGGAGAAGAAGAAGAATAAGAAGAACTATATACTTTTTATTATCACATAAGATGGCAAGCTTTGGCATATTCCTCTATCAACTCAATTCATTCAGAAATACCTACGATCAGGGTAAAAGTTTGACATTTTATCTCCATTGACAGGTAACAAAATCACACTATTTATAAAATTACTTTTTCCCTCGTTTCCCGAATATATCTAAACACTATTGATGGATTCTATTGTTGTACCAGTTCTGAAAAATAAACCAATAAAAATGCATCTTCCATTCCATAAATTTTGAATACGCGATATTGTAAATTTTTTGCCATTTAGCTGGCAACAATTCGAGTGTGGATCCAATAACTTGGTAGATTTCAATGCAAACAAAACACAAGCATGCCTTTTCTCTGGAAAAGCCGATCTCACTGTGCCCAACATAATTTGTCAGGAGTAATCATACCTTTGAAGACATCCATTTCGATGCTTGATATTAATATCAGCAATAACCTTTCTTGGGAAAATCACGTGAGACCAATTGCTAAAAGTGCATCCCAAATACTTGGTTTTTTGTTTCGGGCTAGAAGCTATTTCACTTTCAGTCAGCTGCTTATGATCAATAAGGCACAGATCCGACCTTTCCTGGAATACTGTTCCCAAACTCACTCACTTCTCACTGGCGATCTGGTTCCATTTTATAAATATTCACTTCTGAAATATCAACAATTGTTCCTCCCTTGGCAGTCCCCGCGAGATTAATCCGTCCAGTTGAGGTTTTGCACCCCTTCGTGGTCACTTTGGAGACCTGCAGAACATCTCTCTCCAAAGACTCGTCTATCCAACGAAGAGCGAGGCTCTGGAACACATTGCCAAGGAACTTCCTTGGCTTCCTTTCCCGAGGCATTCAACCTCCAGAAATTCAAGAAGAACACCAATTCCTACCTTATTTTCCATGGTTCTCACGATGTTCTCTGAACATTACAGGATATCGCTTTTCGAGGAAACCAGAACATAAAAAAAGGAAGACAAAAACTATTGTGAACTAGTGAACTCTATAATTATGGACAGTTAATGTCAAATGTTTCAAGATGAATGATATGTAAGTATATTATGTTCTCACTGCTGATTCACAAAGTAAAAATGAATGCAAAATAAAACAAATTTGGTTATGCCACCACATGATTCGATTCTCAACAGTCAAAAACTTATATGGCAGCCATATTGATTATATACCCAAGCATATTATAACACCTCCATTCCTTTACCAACTCAATGCTTCCTATGCACTTACCTTAGTAAATATCAAGTTTATTATCACTGCAGCATTGACTGTGAAACGATCGTCCAATCACGTGCCAGCAACAGACATCAAGTGTGCTTGCATTCACGTTTCGTATTACGCAATACTCAGCATCAGACGTTTCTGAGAACACGTGCGACATTTCGATTTCGAAAAAAAAATCCAGGCGGGATAATTGTGATTGTGATGGAGGAATGCACCTTTTTGTGTGCATATCGTTTGTTTTTCATTAAAAGTTGTCGCATATTTTCATAATAAACACATGAAATGCGATAATCACAGTAATTCCGTTTGAATTTATTGGCCGATAGGCTCTAATGACTAGTCCTTGCTTGTTTTGCTGGTAATGTCTGATAATTACACTAGGAATAAATTAATAACTGCATAATTCGCACTATTCCTTCACCACAGTAAGTAGTAAAGTGAAGCTTCAAAGACTGTGCATGGTTGAATAGAAAGATACAAGAATATAACCTACTCAAAACACAAACTTGATATTTTGAATTGCCTAGTTACTGAATTTAGGCAACTTCAACTATTGTATTCATCA